AGAAAATACTACAAATGGCGCAGTAAACGCCATCTGTAGCACGATGCTACATTTTAGGATTACGTATGCTCCAACAAGGTCCACTTGTGTGGATATCTACTTGCTGAAGACGAATCCCGGCGTAGCCAACCTCAACGTAATAGGCACGTTAGCTTAATCGAATAAAATAATTCGAAGTGGTCTGTGTTCTTTATATGCATGTTTATATGACTTTTTATTATTCAAATATTTACATAAATTTCAATGTACTTGATTTTTAACATTGTTTGCATCATTGTCATCATTCATTTCAACAATACTTTCAATTATTTCATTCTGTTCTAAAAATGATACAATAGGCTTATTCAGAAGGAAGAATCATGTGCGACTTTTGGAAAACTAAAAGTTTGCTACAAATGAAGGCATCTATTCGAAAACCATAAAATACGAAGTTAGTACGAACAAAACTGGTACCGTAAATGTCGATGTATGGAGTTTGAGATCACACTTATTATCAGTGAAAAAATTAACTTAAATGGTTTCAAACTTTTGTTCTCCATAAACGCTTGCCACATTTCAAAAATAGGAAAGTATAAACTACAGTAGTACTATTTCTATAAGTGTAAACCAAATGAAAACGGCCGCTAAATAATAAATAAAAATATACAGCAATTATTTACCTCAACAAAATGAGGTGACAGAAAGAAAGAACATCATTTTGTCAGAAATGGCAAGATTCATACTACTAGGTGCAGGTACGGTTAAGAAATATTGGGGTGAACCTGTAAATGCGCCAAACTACAAACTTCTACCAAAGCAAATGATAATACTCCTTTCGACGTTTGATATTCAAAGAATCCAGATCTAAAAAAAATTACATATTTTTTGGTGTGGAGCTGCGAAACGTTAGAAGGCGAACTAGTTAATGGATAATTGACTAATAAGAATTAATTGGCTCTGACGAGATGTACGGATGCCTAGCAACTGTTAGTTTGGTAAACAATAATGGCTGTAATTAATCTGTATAGTGTCACATACTGTTCGTAATTTCCAAAATTATATTTTTCGTTTTCCCGGAATTGAGTCTGCTTATTTTGCCATACGCGGAACCTTCATATACAATAACATTTGTTATGGTTCCGGGATATATTGAGTCGACTTTGCGAAACGCGAAACCGCAACACGGAACCTAAAGCACGACTAATAGTCCGCGAGGGAGATTAAGTGAAGTCAGCAAAATGATCGTGAAGTCGGGAGGAAAAGGTGATCCACCGACTTGTGTAATTCGAGAATCGTCGACTGCATCGTAGACTGGCGATGGTTGACAATTGCAACCCTGTACCGAAATATCCCCTCGAGAACGAACCACCGGATCCTCGTGAAGCGGATAGTTTCCTCCCGGAAGTTAAGGAAAGATAAAGGTACTACTTAATCTCCCTCAGAAACTCCTGTTTGCTATCTACTTATATAGTAATAGTTTGTACTTATTGTTGCCTTTCAGCACAAATCAAGTTAGTGATAATTGTGCCAAATATATAATATATAGTCCTAAGACTGGTTGGACATGTACCTCCACTCTTTCCTATCCTGAGCTAAACTTCGCATTTCCCTAAAACTAGAACAACCCACATCCTTAACTATTTGCGAACAGTNAGAATTAGCTTCTGAAACTACAGAAATGCAACTAACTTACACCAAGTCATCGGAAGAAACTGGAACAGGATGGATTGCACAGTTTATTGGCGTTTCTTCAGGTATGCTTTTGTTAGAATAACAATGAGTTGTGTTTGAACATTTGTATATTTTAGGTGTAAAAGTGAATTGGTGAACATTGAGAAAATATGGAAAACAAATGTGATTCTGTCATTTTATTGTTTAATAATACATAATGCAATTTAACAAGGATTTTATTTGGATGTATTACACTTATACATCTTACACATATTATTGTATATATTTCAATTATGTGTTTGTTTTGGCAAAGTGACGCCGGAGCTTTTGCTTTGATTTCATTTTAATTTTTCAAGTGAAATAAATAAATTAGAATTCCTTAAATTCTTTAAATATGTATGTTTTTTCTCGTGTACTATAATGCAAAATTAAATTTCCTTTAAACTGATATAAGGGTGATGGTATCACTGACTAGTAGTTTTTGAACAATTTACAATTTTTTTGAAATTTTTAATTATATCGCATCATCAAGTTAACCGTTTTAAAAAGTTTGGCGAGTTTGTTTTGTTTTTCGAAGAAATGTCAGTTTATTAATTTATTGTTGAGTAATTACATAATTAGAAGTATTAGTAGATGGTTTATGTAAAGGAATACCTCGAAACACAATTACCAGACAAGAAGAAGAGCTAAAAAAGACAGATACAGTTTTGTTTATTATTAGAAATTAATTTATAAGGAACCACCAAATTTAATTTTGCATTATATTATACGAGAAAAAATATGGCATTCCATTTAAAAAACATGTTGTACCTGTTTGAATTTGTGGATATTGGCACCTATAAATATCATACTAATTATAACCTACGTGTCTATCTAATACCTGTATTTGTTAGGCAATTTCTTCGAGAAATGGAATATGAAAACTGCAACCCTCTAAGTCCTTTTGTTTCTGAGATATTTAAAATGGAGCCAACCACTACAAACGTCAAATTTTCCAAGGAACTTTTCCAAGAAACGTGAAATAACTCCAGAAGGGTGTGACTTAGGTCCAATACATTTCAATAAACTGATATTATTTTCTTATGGGGAATTCAAAAATGAAATAAAAAATAAGGAGTTCCATTTAAAATAATGAAGTCACTATATATTTCTGGTATAGCCGGAAGTCCGCCATATTTGAAAATAATTTTTCGTTATTATACACTTAACTCTATACAATTTCTATTTGAAATATTTTTCTCTATTTTGAAGTATACGTGTATGCATGGCCGACTTCGGCTTAGTGACTCACCCGAGTATATATAAAAATCAAAAAGAAATCAGAGCAAAAGCTTGGGCGTCGCTTTACCAAAATAAACACATAATTCAAAGAAAAAATACACCATGGGGTTAAACTTACCTGCTTAAATAGAAAACTCGAAATTCTCATAAATAATACAAATTTTATAATATAAAAAATATATTATCCAATAAATTGATAAAAAGCAGTTATTCAATAACCCCAAAAAATTGAAGAAACCCTTATCGGTTCTTAGAAAATTATTTCGAGAACTCATAAAGTTAGGTTTGTTCTTACTAAATGCTAATAAACTTGAAAAAGACTGCAGAATTTCTTATTTTGTGTAAACTTCTGCAGTAAGTATCAATCAATAGTAACTTTCAACTAATTAATTTCAACGAAGTTACAATAAACTTACCTTAATAGTTGATGAGTTCCAGAGAAAGTCACGTAACCAAATAAAGCCACAGTTCAACCTAAGACTTTCTAGGATAATCAACGATCCACTTGAATGACCCCACCTAAAGGGGCAAGTTTTATTATAATAAAAGATTAAATTCTGTAAGTTAGGATTAGCAAAATAAAATATCCTGAGGTAAATACAAACATTTAAACAATTTATGGAGACAAGTACTTACTCAGAACAATTCATGTAATAATAAATTTAATGAAACCAATAGTAAAAGGCAAAAGGAATTGACCAGAATACTAATTGTATTTTAAATGTATAAACCCATTTAATAATTCAACGAAACCACATACATTATTATAACATTATGTTACGAAAAACGATAAATTTAATACAAAATTATAATTAAGTTATAACATAATGCAGATTGCCATGAAGAAACATGCTTAATAAAAAAAAAATATACATAAAATATTAAAGAGATTTATAAATAATTATTTAGAAAATTATTTAGCTTTTGTTATAATAAGGAGCAAACAACCGACATCCACCATTACGGTTTAAATTTGCCTGGACAGTGGAAGATAGGCGAAGTTCGATGTTCAGTTCCTTCCAGAATTGATTTGTTGGTCCGAAATTCGTTCAAAAACATATCAAACTCGTCAATCTTTCTCTTCTCGACTTCCGATGAGGTTCTCGGCGACATACAGGAATATGGATAAGATCAAAGATCTGATGAACCAGATATTTGAGGCGTTGGTAATGTAACGATTAGCTCAAATCTTCCTCATCTTCTTCATCGCAGATCTGGTAACCGTCATACGCTGTTTCAATTTTTAATCAACGCATCCTCTGTAATTTCAAATGAAGACTCCAACATAGATGTATGATGGGATCACCTCAATTTCTGTTACTTCTGGCACGTTATTATACGGGGTGTAACAGAAATAAGTACCGAGCTTTGGAGGGTGTAAACTAGATGCAATAAACAATCGCACAGTGCGTTCAACAGCGTGGTTTAGGGCGTTTTTTTATAAAAAGATCACAATAATTTAAAATGCAAAGCCGGTTCTGTAAGTGAGTTAGCAACACAGGTATACGAGGGCGGTTCAATAAGTACATCTTTTTTTTAAAATTTTTTTTATTTTTCAACATAGTCCCATTTTAGAAAGGTACACTTCTCCCAACGACCCTGCCATTTTTTTTACCCCTCCAAAAAATAAGATTTGTCGAACTCCCCAAAATCCCCCCTGTCTCGGCGATGACTTCCACGTTTGAGCTAAATTTCTTTCTCGCTAGTCATTTCTTCATGGTAGGGAACAAGATGAAGTCGCAGGGAGTCAAATCGAGTGAGTACGGGGTCTGCGGCAGCAAATTCATAACGTAATTCATGCAGTTTGGCGGCAACAACTCCTGATGAATGTGCTGGTGCGTTATCGTGTTGGAAACGCACCTTCTTTTTCGTCAAATGCGTCCGTGTCTCCTTCAATTTTTTGTCGAAGCGGTCCAATAACTCACTGTAGTATTGTCCAGTGATCGTTCTTCCTTTTCCTAAAAAATCCGT